ATTCCAGGATGAATGAAGCCTATTTCCTACAAAAAAGAAATCGAGGACATGGAAAGGCTTTTGTACCTAGGAGGGCCTCGCAGAGTCCTGCTTGATTTCAACTACACCCTTGCTATCTAGAGCCTGAAACTCAACCAGGGGTGTGGTTCTGGCTTCTTCAGCCACATCCTGTGATCCAAACACAGAGGAGGAGGTGGGGAGGGAGCAGCACTTGGGCTGATGTCCCAGAGCTGATATCCCCTGGAGGGACCTTCCCTGAAGCCAAAGCTGAAGGAGATCTGATCAGGGAGGAGGAAGCTGTCTGGCTTCCTAGAAGCCTCAGTCTTAGACCTCTCTTTCCAAGCGACCATGAAAATTTGCAAAAAAATTATTTGCTTCTCCCTGCCTCTTAAAATCCAGTTCAAAAAAAAAAAAAAAAACCCCAACAAAAAACCTCTACTCCACCCAAAAAAGTGAATAAAACAAAAATCTCGTGTTGCATGTTCTCAGATTGTCCATCCTAGTGGGAGAGTAACTGCATTATTACTGTTAATCACAAAATGACATCTCAAGTTAATGATTTTAGTGCTTTTCTGTAAGAAAAGAAGAAATTATTCTTTAGATATGCATCTTGATTATATAGGGCCAGTATGCATAGCACACAATGTTTCCTGATTTTCTCTGTCACGAATTCTCCTCAGGACGCAGTCAGGAGAGTAGTGGGTGGGGATGGTAGGGTTACCGTGACTAGTGGCTTGATCCTTGTTTACTGGAATGATAGGCGATATTCCCTGTCCACAGTGGACACCCACCCAGTTGGTGTCAGAGAAGTGGTGTCAGGCTAGCAGCAGGTTCTTCTCAGCATCTCGACCCAAGCTGGTTTTCAGGAGTCCAACAGGAGTCCAGTCTCTCTTAGGAGGGCAGAAGTGACAAGGTGCACGTTGTACATTATCAGTACCCCACTCTGTATCAGATACTGAGCTCACAAAGTAGACAGATAAACTCAATGAGATTTCTGCTGTTGGTGATTAGCAATGGAGAAAGCATTGAGAGAATGCACCAGGTATCTGCCCACTTCTCTTTCCCAACTACAGTGTGGATCTATGCCACCCTCTCTGAACTCCAACACTGCCTACCTGCTTGGCACTTTCTCAAAGGACAGAGAGTGTGCCCAAACCAAAGTTATGTGCTGTCACCAAAGGTAACTACATGAAACTCTCTAAAGGCATGGGAGAGAGCTTTAAGGATGCTGGGGCCCCTGGCTCTCTTGTTTCAGTAGCCATCTTTGCTGGAACACCTGGCTCTGCCTCTATAAATTTGGTGAGTGCACATCTGGTTAGACTTTTGGCTTCTCGAGCAGATGATTAAAGGAAATTGCTAGTGAAGTTTTCAGATCGTGACTCCAGAATATCATCTTGAGATTAGGCAAGCCATTTTAGAAAAATATGAGTGGCAACAAAGGGAGTCCAAGATAAAATCTGGTCCAGCCACTCAGCAACCCCACACCCCACTCCCCCTATCTGCAACTTGACAACTTAAAGTGTGGTGAAGATGCAAACTGTAGGTGTGATTCCCATATGAGTTTACACACTTTTCCACCCAGATCTTCTTCCTTAAAAATACTCAGGGAAAACATTTAAAAATACATAGAAATCTCGTTTTGAATTTACCTTAGATGGACTGGAAGCAGGCTCCCATCTCTTCTGAGCACACAGACACCTTCAAAGGGGATGCAGCTTGATTTGGATAGGATCAATTTACCCCAGCTATTAAATCTGCACTTTTCTGACCCGCGACATTTTCAGGGCAGGTATCCTGGCCGCTTTATAGTTTGACAAGATGTAGCAAGACCTGTATATAATAGGCTAGTGTAGACACAACTGTACCAAAAAAAATTTTGTTTTTTTTTAGTGAGTGATGGAAAAATGGCAATCCCCTGCCATTTACTTACATGCTAAGAGTATAGTCCTTTGACTTTTGAGGGTTACCAACCTTCCTGTAATATTGAGGTAAAAATTGTTAGGCAGTTAGTGTAGGAACTCTGAGATCTCAGCCTATTTCAATAAACATCCCACTCCATTAACCTAAAATTATATCCTTTGTCCCAAATTCCTGGCTCTCAGAGGAATGTGTTCTGGGTCTGATAAATTATCAGCACTCAGATCCAGAAAAGGGGAGTAATTAACTTCTGTTCCACATGCCTGAGGGAAAAACAACCGGTGATCATTAATCTTTATATATCTGGTCCATTGTAAAATGTCTGGAGGTCATAAAAAAGGGCCACATTGGCAACTAAATGTCTTAAGACAACTTAAAACCTGAGGATCGAAAGATAACTAAGGAATGCTACAATAAAAATTGTGACCTTTAAGTTGATTGGTTAAAAATGACATATGCTAAGGGTAAGAGCCAACCAGAGACATATAGATTAATACTAGTAAGAATATAAACTACTACAGATAATGCTTTCAGGGGACATTTCACCCCCTCTCAATGTCTATGTTGAGAGTTTTGTACTTGATTTCTCTCTGAAATAAATTCTGTCTGCTTACTACCTTGAGTGTTTGAGAAGTTCTTTCTTTAGCTCTGAGAACAAGAACTTGGATTCCCATTTCAATATTCTTGGCTACAGCCTAGATACACAAGGGAAGCCTGGCCCTTCCCACTTATATATGAATCTGGTCCTCCATTTCATCTGCATTTTTTATGGGGAATTGATAACACTGCAATGTACCTTGGTGATTATATGCACATTAATCATGGTACCTTGGTTGTTGACTATGGTTTAGAGGATAAAATTCCCAGTCTGTATGGAATGGTCAAAGTAGGTTTGGATGGAACCCAGGGCTTTGTACTTGATGAACTTATGACCCTTAATAACCAGCCAGCAGATGCTGGATGCCTTAGATGTGGGGCGAGGCAGCAGGAGAGCCTGGTCATCCAAAATTAATCCCGATGCTCATTTCCTGGCCAAGATGTCTTACATATGCTATCTAATCTGTAGACTTGTTTGCATTGGAGCACTGGTGGGCATTGACTATTACTTATAAAACAGCATCAACTTTTGCTAACAGAAAAAATACCTGGGCTTGTTTGATGGAACGGGGTGTGTGTGTGTGGGGGGCGGGGGGCAGAGGTGACATAAATGTCATCAAATTCCCTGCATTACACTGCAAGCAGAAGTGTTTGTGCCTGATCAAAACTCTGCTTTTGGTAGAGGACAGAAACTATCTCATGGGAGAAAAGCAACCAGGACCAATCTCCAAGTCTAAGATTGGCACAGACTTGTGCCTTCTCTTCCACTTGTATCAAGAGTTTGTTGATTAAAAAAGATGCACAACTTGAGAGTTTCGAGGTAAGTTTTATTTGGGGACAAAATGAGGACTGTAGCCTGGGAGACAGCACCTCAGATAGCTCTGAGACTGCTCCAAAGAGGCAGTGGGGGAAGGGCAATACATAAGATTTTAATGAAAGGGGAGTTCAGGTTGTATGAAAATGGCTAAGGTTGGGTGAAACAGCTAACAGCTATGGTGTGATCAGGAGTGTATCCTAATCCTGTCCCTGGTTACTGGGATTTCCCTAGTGGTCCAGTGGCTAAGATTCCATGGCCCAGGTTTGATCCCACATGTCACAACTAAGAGTTTACATGTTGCAACTAAAGATCCTGCATGCCAGAAAGATCCCACATGCCACAACTAAGACCTGGTGCAGTCAAATATATATATATATATATATATATATATATATATATGTATATAGACAAAATATTAAAAAAAAAAAAAGGCCATTACTTCCTCTCTCTTCTAAAAAGAAAGGTGATCAGATCAGGTGACCACAACTACCTGAGGCCTAAAAGTTTTATAAGGTGACGTCTGACATCCAGAAGGGCTATTTTTAGCATCTTCCCACTTCAAGTTCTTCTCTAAAAATTGAATGCATTTCACTGTGCTGGGTTTTCCTTGCTTCATATAGGCTTTCTCTGGTTGTGGCGAGCAGGAGCTGCTCTCTAGTGGTGGTGCACAGGGTCCTCATTGTGGTGGCTTCTCCTACTGTGGAGCATGGGCTCCAGAGCACAGGCTTAGCAGTTGTGGCGCACTGGCTTAGTTGCTCTGTGGCACGTGGGATCTTCCCAGATCAGAGATTGAACCCGAGACTCCTGCACTGGCAGGCGGACTCTACCACTGAGACACCAGGGAAGCCCTCAAGTTCTCTTTGTCAGGCCAACTGATTGACTCTCTCAGCTGTGCTACTCATACTCTTTTAAATAAAATGAAAAGTCAAACATGAATATTAATTCAGTAAGTCAAATTTTTATTTTGCACCTGTGAATTTATGGGAACAATGCCAAGGAATCAGAGGAAGAGGGAGGACAGATGCTTTTTGGATGTGGGGTCTCTGAACATCCATGGGAAGGTACATACACAGCTCATCTGTCTGCCCAGCCACCCAGGAAGGGAGGGTAGGAAGGATGAAGTGGGTCAATTCTATCTTCTGGAGAAGCTTTTTCCAGAACCCAGTGGTTCCTCTGCATGGGAAGAACCTGGGATTTGAGTTGCACCACCCAGAGGGGCTTCTGAATCCAGGGGGAAGGTGAACTTCTGATTAGCTAGGTACCTTGGTCAGGTTTGCATCAGTGAATTTGATACTCCCTCACAATATTTGGTGGGTACTGATCAGATGCATAGCCTCCCCATAGGTTTCAATTCTGTTACATCCCCTTTTGTCTTACTTATGATCTGATTTTACAGATAAAATATACTAAACAGAACAGTTTTCTTCTTTTATACAAATATCTAAAGTGGGTGAGTTCATAACTTTCTCCCTTAATGGAATTGTTGGGCAAGAGTGCATAGGTGGGTAGGGCAAATGTTCACAGAATCTGGCCTTTATTTGAAATTTTCTCCTCCCTTGTCCTTCAAGATACATGTTTTCCTCTTTTCTGGCAAGGTCAACCCAAGAGGCAAACTATTTAGAAAACAAAGAGCCCCAGTAGTTTATTTTTGGTTCAGGGTATAACCAAATTATTTTATTGTATTTACTGTTCCTGGGTATATAGATGCATCTATACAGGCACAGTAATCATAACTATAAACTGTAACTATTTCATTGGGTTTGTTACCTCTTGATGTGATAATGAAGTGACAAAGAGCAAAGGGTCTTGCATTCATTTGCCCGGCCTTACTGTCTGCTAATGGGACCTGACATATAAATATAAAACACAGGCCTGGTGGCTGGCTTTCTGACTCAGCCACCAATATACCACAGCTTCCATGCTTTTTCATCACTGAGCTGAGCCAATCTGACCAATCTTTCAGGATCAAGAGGATGGTTTTCATTGCTTGAGGCTTCACTACCAGTGTCACTCCCAGTCCAGAACCCCAGGCGATGAACTTTAAAGGGTATCCTGCAGAGGATCCCCCACCCTGGGAACAGAAGCTTGAATCTGAGTTCTGCTTCCAATGGAACTCAGAGTAAGCTAAATCAACTTTGCACTAATTCATCTAAGAATGAGAAATATCAGCAGAACCTCAGGATTATCTAGTGTTGTGGGTTAAATTGTCTTCCCATCCCCCCAATTCATATTGAAGTCCTAACCCCAGTACCTCAGAATGTGACCTTATTTGGAAATAGGGTCATTGCAGATATAATTAAAATGAGAACAGTCTGGAATCAATAGGGCAGGCCCTACTCCATATGACTGCTATCTTTATAAAAAGGGGAAATTTAGAGACAGACACATACACAGGAACACCACGTAAAGACAAGGAGGAGGTGGGGTGATGCTTCGACAAGACAAAGAACATCAACAATTGCCAGCAATCACTGAAGCTAAAGGAGAGGCAAGGAACAGATCCTTCCTTTACAAGAATCCAACCTTGCTGACACCTTAATCTTGGATTCCAGGCCTCCAGAACTGAGATGATGAATTTCTGTTGTTCTGAGCCACCCAGCTTTTGGTAATTTGTTACAGCAGCCTTAAGGAATTAATACAACTGGCACATGAAGTTTATATATATATATATAGAATGACTTCATCAAAGGTTCTGTTTCTCCTGCTCAGCTCATCCAGACAAAAGAACTTCTCATTCATGGGACCTGAGCTCTCCTTTACGGGACCTGAGCTCTCCTTTTCTAGACATGATACAATGGGGAAGGGAAAGTTAAGCGCCTTTCAAATGATGATGCTGTCACTTCTATTCCACAGCCAAGTATACCAAGGACCTTCAGGGTACAAAGAAAGGACACTTTCTTTGTACTGTGTGCCAAGAAACAAATTAAAATGTGGGCTTAATGTGGGTTTTGCCTTGAATGAGCTCACAATTCCCAATAACCAGTCACCACCATAAAAGAAAGAGTTCCCTTTTGGCAAGCTATAGTCTCCCACAAAGGCTTCTGAGCCTGGAAGGGCCATCTGATAATTCTGAGGTGTTCTCATGGACCAGATGGTGCCTGGGACACAGACTTCTGATGACGGGACATGGCTTGGTGTGCTTGGCCCTGCTGCCCTTGTGCCAAGAGGCCCAGCCCCACCTTCCTCCTAACCCATCACCCCACCTGCAGCTTCCTGCTATCAGGTAGGGAGAAATTACCTCCAGACTTCAGGATTGGGTAGGAATTCAGATGGGGCAGGAAGGGAGTGTACTGCAAGTTGGCAAGGAACAGACCCCTCAAAGGTTCCCTGTGGTAGGGGGCACCCTAGTCCCTCCACCATGTGGGAAACCCTGAACAGGGTTCTCTTAGACCCGAAACACCGGGCAAGTCAAAGCTGGTGCTGACACACTCTCCTGGAGCAAATACTTAACTGGCCACTATCTCGTTTCTACCTGAGAGTTAAAGGTCAGGAGGACGTGGTCTCTGTCCTGGGGAGGAGTCTGAAACTGGGCAGTGCCAAGCACAAGTGGGATACACTCCACCCACGCTGGAGCTGCTCGCAAAAAATGTGTGCTAAGCCCCCGGCTCAGTAAGAGTTCAGAGCCTGCTTGGACCGGCGCTTCATGTGTAGGCGCTGGTGGCGGAGGAGGTCAGAGTTCTGGGAAAAGCTTTTGACGCAGTACCTGCACTGAAAGGGCCGGGACTTGTCTATGTGAATGTTACTGCGGTGCCGGGCCAGGTGCTCAGGCCGCTGGAACACCTTCCCGCAATCACAGCACTGGCAGCGTAGCTTGGCCTTGCCCTTTGTCAGCGGGTCGTCAGAATCCCCACCCGTGGTCCCTGACGCCTCCTGTTCTCTCTTCTTCACTAACTCGAGTCCGTCTGGCTGCAAGTGTATCCGCCTGTGTGAAAGCAGGTGGGAGTTGAGGCGGAAGCTCTTCCCACAAGCACCGCACCTAAACGGTTTCTGGACCTCATGGGTCTCCAGGTGCCCATCTAGGTCCTCGCTATCACTGAACAGCTCCCCACACACCGAGCACTCATGTGGCTTCTCCTGCTCCCTGCGGCTCCGCAGGTGTCGGATGAAGTTGACCCTCCAGCGGAAAATTTTGCCACAGTTAGGGCAAACGTAGGACTTTTTAGAGGAGGTCTGCACCTCACCCGCTGCCTCAATGCCGCTCCGGTGGGAGGTGGGGAGGCTGGGCTGCTTCTCCGTGGGGCTCCGCGGCTCGTCTGTGCAGTAGGGGCCGAGTTGGGAATCCTCATCTCCGGAGCTGGATAGCACAATCTCGATCGTCACCTCCTCATCCAGGCTGTTCTCAGGGAATGGTGCATCACCTCCCACTACCAGAAAGCAACGAGGTGGTCAGTGGTGCTGCCCAGGCCACACCCAAGCCCCTGCAAATCCTACCCAAGGAGGTTCTGTGTGGGTCCAGAAACGCACATTTTTGTAAGGAATCTTCCCCTGCAGGTATCTCTGTGGTATGTCTTGTGAGAAGGAATCCCTTAGCACAGGCCACACTGCTAACCCATTCTGCATACCTTTTTCTTTCTATCTTTTCCTCCTAAATCCCCAGACCCAGTCCTTTTATTCATTTCTTTTCTAGCCACTGAGACCCCTCCAAGCTCTAAGACGTTGTATCTATCCGTGTAAGCCTTGACCATTTACACATCACTTAACTCTGCCTTTCTTAATCAGACAAGGGAAAAATTGTCAGGGTGCATTAAAAGCCTTGAGACAGAGAAGGGTCCTGTATTCTATAAACAGTGACTGGAGGCTGCCAGCTACTATATGCTAGGCACTTAAATTCCCCAGGGGCTGTACAAGACTTCTGACATGCACAAGCCCATTTGATCCTGGACACAAGCCAATGATGTACTACTTGCCATTATAAACATAGGCAAACTCAGGTCACGTGCTTAAGGGCTCAGGGCTAGTGATATTGAGCCCTGCTGTGATGGTAGGGCTGTTCAAAGGCCCCAGATTATCCAAGGTCATCTCTCCCTCTCAGTATCATATCAGAGGCCAACCAACAGCCACTAGTGGTAATGCACAAAGATGCACTGGACTTTATAAACTAACTGAAGCTGACTCAATGGATCTTGAGTCTCTGATGTTGGAAAGATGTACTGTGGGGAAGAGTTGGGTGGGCAGTGGGGACCCTGATATGAGGTCCTTGCCTGCAGCCCAGAGCCCATTACACAGCTCTCCTTACAGCCGTTTCCTTATTTTTGTGAAATGGGGGGCTCAGGTCTAAAACAGGGGTGGGGGATAGTGGTGCCAGGTCCTTTGATACAATAATAGGAATATGGTTATTCTGGACTTAATTGCTGGAAGGAGGAGAGTTCTGGCAGCTTAGGGAAGTGAAGGCAGGTGAAACTGGACAGAACATAGCAGGAAGACCCAATACCATAGCAAGCAGGAGACACTGGGCAGTGGCAGAGTCTATGCGGGTATTTACTCATACATCAGAGCACAAGTGTGAGGGGACTGGGTACAACGTGAGATGGGGGAGTAGGAAGGAAAGATATGAAGATTCAGAAAATTTTCAGTCTATCTATCCTGCAAAAAATGAGAAAGTATGTTCTGGAGAGAATACCAAGGGTGTGGCAGGACAACCACGGATCCTATTGATCATCTAAGAAGCCAAGAGTGGAGATGAGATAATCCAGGAATGGTCTGTAGAGGACCCTCTTGTCTGATGGCCTGGACCCTTGTAAATTTCATAGGAGGCCAACAGTGTTTCTGAGAATATCCATCTTGGAATAAAAAGGAAAGAAGATGGACTAAAGAAAGGCGTTCAGACAGTCCATGGGGTCAAAGAGTTGGATTAGACTGAGCGACTAACACTATTACCTCTATCAAACTTCTAGAACTAATAGAGCTATCTGGATGCAAACATAGATTATCCTTGAAAGAAAAGGAAGACAGCCCCAAAGGCAGTTCAGAGGTGGACAGAACTGCCACTGCATCCACAGGCTCACAGGGTGGACATAGCACGGAGTCAAAGATGAATCTCAAACCTTAAAATCTAATGGAATTTGCCCTGTTAGGATTCACACTTTCTTGGGAACCATCAGTCTTTCTTCTTTTTGGAATGAGAGTGTCTACTTTATGCCTGTCTCACCATTTCATTTTGGAAGCACTGAACTTGATGTCTGGATTTACAAATTCACAGTTGGAAGTGACAATACCCTGAATCTCACTCAATTTTGATTTAGATGATATTTAGATTAAATTATGGACTTAGAGTTGATGCTGGAATAGATTAAGGGATATTGGGATAGAATGGATGTATTTTGCATATGAGAAGTATGAATTATGGGAGAACAGAGGGTAAAGGGGAACAAGAAGTATGGATTATGGGGGAACAGAGGGTGAAGTCTTAACCCCCAGTAATCAAGAATGTGACTATATTTGGAGATAAGATCTTTCAAGAGATAATATGCAAGAGACCTCTTGGAAGAAGAGATTAGGACATAGAAATACAGAGAGATGACCATGAGAAGACACAGGGAGAAGACAGCTGTCTGCAAGCCAAGAAGAGAGGCCGCAGGAGAAACCTCTCTACTGAAAACTTGATCTCAATCTTCTAAGCCTCCACAATGTTGAGAAAATCAATTTCTGTTGTTTGAGCCTCCCAGTCTGTGGTACTTTATTATACCATTCCTAGGAGACTAATATAGTACATATGGGATTCATGCATGTGTGCTAAGTCGCTTCAGTCATGTCCAACTCTTTGCAACACTGTGGACTGTAGCCCACAGGCTCCTCTGTCCACGTGATTTTTCAGGTGAGAATACTGGAGTGGGTTGCCATGTCCTCCTTTAGGGGATCTTCTAAACCCAGGGATCAAACCTGCATGCCTTAGGTCTCCTGCATTGGCAGATGGTTTCCTTATCACTAGTGCCACCTGGGAAGCCCACATATGGGAAGACAGCCCCCTGAAATCAGATGAAGTGA